CCTAGGGATATGACCATGAAAAATTTTAGAAGGGTTAAGCAGCACTGACCTAAAGGTTATAACGCCCAGGTACAATTGATACCAAGATCCATTCTTTCTTTTTTTTTTCCTAACTGTCGCCCAGGCTGGAGTGCAGTGGTACGATCTCGGCTCACTGCAGTCTCCACCTCCTGGGTTCAAACGCTTCTTCTGCCTCAGCCTCCTGAGTAGCTGGGATTACAGGCGTGTGCCACCACAGCTGGCTAATTTTTGTATTTTTAGTAGAGACAGGGTTTCACCATGTTGCCCAGGCTAGTCTTGAACTCCTGGCCTCAAGTGATCCACCCACCTCAGCTTCCCAAAGTGCTGGGATTACAGGTATGAGGCACCATGCCTGGCCTATCATTTCATTAACGGTTATATATGGTGATTTAAAAAAATTCTTTCAATTTCTTCTGTATTCATTAGTTATAGTTCTTCTATATATAAGAATTTTTCTTCGTCAAGTATTTGGTTATCTTAAAATACAGTCCATAGCCAGGCGCAGTGGCTCACGCCTGTAATCCCAACACTTTGGGAGGCTGAGGCAAGCGAATCATCTGAGGTGGGGAGTTCGAGGCCAGCGTGACCAACATGGAGAAACCCCATCTCTACTAAAAATACAAAATGAGCCGGGCATCGTGGCGCATGTCTGTAGTCCTAGCTACTCGGGAGGCTGAGGCAGGAGAAACACTTGAACTCGGGAGGTGGAGGTTGCAGTGAGCCGAGATGGTGTCATTGCACTCCAGCCTGGGCAACAAGAGTGAGACTCCATCTCTAAATAAACAAATAAATAAATAAATAAAGTTCATATGGAAAGGCAGAATAATTGATTTGATTCTTTCCCTTTATGTATTTTCAGAGAAATGAGTTGGTGCCCTTCAACCATCTAAGGAGTCCCAAAAGTGAGTGAGTTTGTTTTGAATACCGTATGTTTCAAACTGTTGTGATCATTATTCTGTTTTATATCAAACTGCTCTTTTTTAAGCCAGTGGTGGTCTTTTCCAGGCAGTTCTGTATCTTTCTGTCATGATTCTAGTAGAGTTGATAGCTGATTTGCTTTCTGGCAGAACAAATGATCCCAAGATCACCTTCTACATTTCCTGTGCCAGGCCTGAAATGAGCCATTTCTCTAAGGAGTTCTGATTCCTCTTGTGGTATATAGTGTACAGTAACCACTGTCTGGGCATTAGAGTTTCTCATTGCCATAGGGCCGTCATTTAATCTAGGTCATTTCAGGGAACAAAGCTAATAACTTGTTTTTAAAGTGTAAATCATGAATCATGAATTTATAATAATAGTTCAGACAAATTACAGAGTATTTTCTTGTTTGATTTTTATACTTGTATCTCTGTTTTATGCTAACAATCTTAGTTGCTGAAACATTAATATAATTTATGTTCTTTATTCTAAAATATAATTGTTTGAAAACAACAGAACTGTCACTACTGTTAAGATAGAGAGTGCATTTTAGATTTCTTTTGGTGTTTTTTTTTTTGCTATATTTAAGTTTCATGGATTACATTTGGTTATGCCTCTTTAGTCTTTTAATTAAAAATTAGAAATTTTTATTTTGATATAATATTACACTTACAGAGAAGTTGCAAAAATAGTAGAAAAAACTCTCCTATGCCCTTACATATTTATCAGTTTTTTAACATTTTGCTTTTTTGTTTGCTAATTCTCTCTACATATATACTTCTGAACTACTTGATAGTAGTTTTCAGACATGATTTTCCTTTATCTATAATTAGTGTATTTTCTGAGCACGGGGACTATAACTACAGTTCATTTATTAAAACAAAGAAGTGTAGCAGAGTTAAGTGATAACTATCTAATCCAGAGTTCATAGAAGAATTTCACCAATTGTTACGATTTTGTCCTTATAGCCTTTTTTTTTTGAAACAGAGTCGCACTCTGTCAAGGCTGGAGTGCAGTGTGGGGAGATCTTGGCTCACTGCAAGCTCCGCCTCCTGGGTTCTCGCCATTCTCCTGCCTCAGCCTCCCAAGTAGCTGGGACTGCAGGCGCTTGCCACCATGCCCGGCTAATTTTTTGTTTTGTTTTGTTTTTTTTGAGTAGAGACAGGGTTTCACTGTGTTAGCCAGGATGGTCTTGATCTCCTGACCTCGTGATCCGCTCGCCTTGTCCTCCCAAAGTGCTGGGATTACAGGCGTGAGTCACTGCGCTCAGCCCCTTATAGCCTTTTTTGCCCCTTATCTGGTGTCCAATTCAAAATCATATCTAGGATCAAACATTTCATTTAATTAAAACATCTCTTTAGTCTCTTTTAATCGGAAACAGTTCCTGGACTTTTCTTTGATCCTTTGTGATCCTGACTTTTTTGAAAAGCACAGGCCAGTTACTTTGTAGATTGTTCTTCAGTTTGTATGTGTTTGATATTTCCTCATGATTCAATTCAAGTGTGCTTTTTTTAAAATTTTGAGACGGAGTCTCGCTCTGTTGCCCAGGCTGGAGGGCAGTGGCATGATCTTGGCTCACTGTAACCTCCGACTCCCAGGTTCAAGCAATTCTTTGCCTCAGCCTCCCAAGTAGCTGGAATTACAGGTGCCCGCCACCACACCCAGCTAATTTTTGCATTTTTTTTTTTTTGCAGGAATACTGCTTCAGTTTATTGGCCAGCACCTTCAGTTAGTTGCTTTTTGTGTTATGTCCAGATCTGATAGGTGTATCTTCAAGGAATTTAGTCCAATAGGATCTTAATGATACTGGATTCAGAAGTCTTCTCAATTTAGTTTCAATTTGAATTTCTCTTATTTAAATGAGGATGAACATATTTTAAATGTTGAATGGCCATTGACTTTTCTTTTTTTATGAATTATCTGTTGCCTGTTTTAAATAATGATTTTTTATTTTTCTCTTGATTGTTTTCTCTTGTTTTTTAAAATACAGCTCTTTGGATTTTAGGACACTGTGTTTTTGATTTAAGTTGTGCATATTTTCTCCCATTTTGTAATTTGTCTGTGTTTGTATTCCTTTAGGCAATTTTTAAATATAGTAATATTTATTCATATGATTGTGAGACACAGAATTTTCCCCTCTTAACTGTGTCCGCAGTTAAGAAGGACACAGTCTATTTTTCCTTCTAGCATTTTTTTGATTTTTTTTTTTTTTTTTTTTTTTGAGATGGGGTTTTGCTCTTGTCGCCCAGGCTGGAGTGCAGTAGCGTGATCTCGGCTCACTGCAACCTCCACCTAGTGGGTTCAAACGATTCTCTTGCCTTAGCCTCCCAAGTAGCTGGGACTACAAGCACCTGCCACCACACCCAGCTAATTTTTGTATTTTTAGTAGAGACGGGGTTTTACCACGTTGGCCAGGCTGGCCGCGAACTCAGGTGATCCACCTGCCTCAGCCTCCCAAAGTGCTGGGATTACAGGCATGAGCTACCACTCCCTGTCAATTTCATATTTTAATATTTAGATATCTTATATATTTGGAGTTAATTTTGGTATGTGGTATAAAATGAGGTTCCAATATTACCTTTCTCGAATAATATTTACTGAATAATCCACCTTTCCCCAGAGATCAGGGATTCTATTCTGTTACATTAATCTTTTCTTTCCATTCATATGCAGTATCCAACTTTTTAAAACTAAAATTTCAACTTTTATTTTAGATTCAGGGGGTACATGTGCAGGTTTGTTGTATGGTGTATTGTGTGATGCTGAGGTTTGGGGTATGATCCAGTCACCCGGTTAGTAAGCAGGATACCTGATAGGTAGGTAGGTTTCATCGTTTGCCATCCTCTTCCTCTCCCTGCTCTAGTAGTTGCCAGTGTCAGTGTTCTCATCTTTATGTTCATGTGTACCCAGTGCTTAGCTTCCAGTTATACAGGATAACATGTGGTATTTGGTTTTGCTTCTGTGTTAATTCATTTAGGATAATGGCCTCTAGCCACATCTATGTTGCTGCAGAGGACATGATTTTGTTCTTTTTTTACAGTATCCAACATTTTAATGATAGGAGTGGTATTCTGAAATCTCTGCTGTCTTTATTATCAGGCATTTTCTTCCAATTCTTGCTTTTTAATATTCTTGCTTGTTGAATTTAAATTGAATATATCTGCTTTCATACTTGTATTTTTATTGGGGTCATAGTTAATTTGTATATCATGTATCAAATATCCTATTAACTTGCAGAGATTAACATCTTTATATCATTTTATATATATAATTTTAACCCATGGGATTTTTTTTTTTTTTTTTTTTTTTTTGAGATGGAGTCTCATTCTGTCACCCAGGCTGGATTGCAGTGGTGTGATCTTGGCTCACTGCAACCTCCACCTCCTGGGTACAAGTGATTCTCCTGCTTTAGCCTCCCAAGTAGCTGGGACTACAGGCGTGCACCACCATGCCCGGCTAATTTTTGAATTTTTAGTAGCCATGTTGGCCAGGCTGGTCTCGAACTCCTGACCTCAAGTGATCCGCCTGCCTCGGCCTCCCTGGGATTACAGGCATGAGCCACCACACGCAGCCAACCCATGTATCCTTAATGAAGATGATATTGCCTCAACGGAGTTGAAAATTGATTAGTGGGGGGCACAAAATCTTAGATAGTACAGTGGCTTTTGGCGCTTCAAAGCTCAACTATACCAAACAAAATCTTACTTAAATTATTTACCTGCTCTCTTACCGGGTTTTCTTGGTATCACACGAGCAACACTGATGTTAAGTTCATGGATTATACATGTACGCAAGATCAGTGCTACCAAAAAAAAAAAAAAAGGATCAGTGCTACAAAACTATGGCAGGTAGATGGCTGTAGTTGGAGAATGCTCAATCTTGAAGTCATATTGCACGAGGCGGCGTGCTGCGCCCACATTGGCTGTCATGTGAATGTTGTTCATATTTGACCCTCAGTGCTTTTGTGTGTGCCATGGCTTGGAGAATTAGATTACAGTTAAAATAGTTTGTTTTGTTATTCGACAAAAGTTATTCAACCTGTGAAATAAACAAATCCAGACTTAGGTAAGGAATGACTATTTATTCATAGAAACATTGCAGTAAGGGAAGAGGTGTTGTAATTGGAAGAACACTACAACCGTAAGATCTGCAAGCATAGCAAAGGTCAGGCATAAAGGAATTTTCTTTTATAGGGAAGAGTAAACAGGCAAAAAAGAACTAGCTTCAGGGGAGTGGGATGAGACTGTTTTGGATCTGTTGACTCTGATGTGTCTGTCAAAATGTCTGTGAGTCTAGCTGATGTTCATGATGTCTGAAAGGAGGCCACATTTTGGTCTCTGAAGCGCCTTCCTAAGATTGGGAGCAAAGCACCTCACTTTGGGTCCAGGGGGATGGTGGGGGGCTCCCTGGGCATGCCCCTGTTCTACTGTGGAGGTGAAGATGCCATGGGAAAGTAACAGCACCTAGGGTCCTGTTCAACATGGACATTAAGGAAAGGTCTGGCCTGAACCCCTTCTGCAGTAGCTGGCTTCCACTGGGTTTGTGGAAGGACTGAGATTTTTTTCCAAATTCCCAAAAGAGGAGAAGTAAAGGTAGTTCTAAGTAGTTTTATTTTGTGGGCTGTGAGCCAACTCAATCTTGTGGCTTTTTTTCCTTCTCCAGCACTGGCTTCTCTGGACTTTGCACACCTCCAGGAAAGGAACCCAGAAAATCGATCAGTTCTGACAGTTCTAAAAAACCATGCCCCACGTGAGTTGCTGTTTCTTTCCTTCTTGAAGTACAATCATTTTGTTGTGTAATGTGAACACCAGATTTATTTATCCCAGAATTTCCTGCCTTGTTTGGTCCCTTAAGGGAACTGCTGCCAAAGTCTCCCATTCTAGTGAGTAATAGTAGCAAAGAGCCCAATTCTTCTCAGTGCTTTTCCCCTCTCCAAACAGTTTTTAGATGTTCATTCAGCAGATAATTCTGCATTGTCCACAGGCATAGTCTTCTTCCCAGAGCCCTGAGGGAACAGAAATACCTCCTTTTAAGAATGGTACACGTTAGTACCACGGTTTGGTGAGGTAGAGATGAGTGTTTGAATGTGACACATGACAAAGTTTGGTCTTCTCTACAAACTTGCGTTTTCCACTTGAAAGTGACAGCATTTTTTTGTTGGATGTTCCTAGTCTCAGTGTGTGGCAAGATTTTCCGTGAAACTTTGAGGATTGAATGGGAACAGGGTCCTGTGAAGGAAGGGCTCTTGTTCCTGATATAGTTTCCTGTTGCTGCTGTTACTAATAACCACCATACTTAGTGGCTTAAATCAGTATAATTATGATTTATACTTCTGCTGGTCAGAAGTCTGAAATCAGTCTGAAAGGGCTAATATCATAGTATTAGCAGAGCCATGTTCCTTCTGGAGGTTCTAGAAGACTGGAGAATCTGTTTCCTTGTCTTTTTCTGGTTCTAAAGGCGGTCCACGGTCCCTGGGGTGTGGCTTCCATCTGTTTTCAAAGCCAGCAATCACATTTCGACCTTTGCTTTCATCATCACATTTCCTTCTTTTACTCACCTGCCTCCCTCTATCACTTATAAATACATTGGGCCCAACCAGATAATCCAGGATAACCCCCTCTCAAGATCCTTAATTTAATTGCACTTCTAAAGTCCCCTTTGCCATGTAAGGTAAGGTATACATAGGTTTTGTAACCAAATTCAGGTCCAGACTACTTGCCACTTGAAAGCTCAAGAGATGAGCATTGGTGAAAGGAAGGTTAGCTTTATTCAGGAAGCCAGCAACCCAGGGGAGGCAGTGAACTAGTGTTCAAAGACCACTGAGTTCTGTCTCCATATCAGGGGATTTTAAGGGAAATTAGGAAAAATGATGATCAAAACATTCTTGTGAAATGTGCAGTCTCAGGTCATTGCTTTCTTGGTCATTGCTTTCTTGATCAGTGTTTTGTGGCCTTCTGTAGGTGCCGTCAGCCTATTCTTATCAGGCCGGTCAGCCCATTCCCAGAGTTGTTAGCCTGCGTATTTTAATTCTCTTATCTCTGTTGAAGGTCCTGTTTTCCTGAGACTGTTCTTACTGAATAATCTACAAAGTCAAGCAAAGTAATAATTATATTTAAGCAAGCAAGCTTTTCTTTAACATTGAGTCAGTACTGTTACTGTTTCAGGGATTAGGTTGTGGACATGTTTGGGGGGCCTTTATTCTGCCTTCCACAACCCTCTTGCCCAGGAACCAATGAGAGAGGATGATCATAGTCAAGTTCACCTTGGGGTTTCCTGGAATGTACCAGTTCAGAGTGATGGCTCTGTGTGCCTGGACTGGCAGCCAGTACCTTGCTGTAGCCTAGGAACAGGGAAAATAGGAGCAAATAAAACATGCCAGACGCATACTCTCAAGAATTATAGATTCTAAGAGCTCAAAGACATTAGAGAATTTGTCTAATTCAAATACTCCCAAATAAGCAGATCATTTTGTACATAAAATGGAAATATCGTATGTCCATTCTATTCTGTGATGTAATAACTTGATGAATCTGAGTCTTCAAAAAATTCTTAGGTTATATTCAAATTTTATTTTCTAACCTAGGGATTTGGTAAACATTGGAAAAAATTCGTCCTTTTAAAAGTCTTTAAAGGCAGAAGGGAGAGCAAGAACTTGTATTGATTGAGAGTATATTAGTTATTGAGGATTTGAAAGCCTAATCTGCTGTGCAGTTAAAATCTGCTGTGAAATAAATGCATGCAGTATTTTATTTAATCAAGAAACTGCATACATCTGGACATCTGGCGTTTTAAATTCTCAGACCTTTCTGGATAATGGAATTGTTCTGTTGTACAAAGGAAGTTTTATCTGTGGCAATAGGAATGATAGAGAATCATGTTAATACTATGGTTTAGGCAACCAATTTCCTGTTGAAAACAACACAAAAAAATAACACAAAAGTGTTACTTGCTTCCTTCAATTACCTCCTCCATTTTCTTCTCATTTCACTTCAGAATCATTGCTGTATTTTCACAAGTAATGGATTTGTTGTTTCAGTTGTTGGTGACTTTCAGGGATGTGGCCATTGACTTCTCTCAGGAGGAATGGGAATGCCTGGACCCTGCTCAGAGGGACTTGTACAGGGATGTGATGTTGGAGAACTACAGCAACCTGATCTCATTGGGTAAGATCATCCTACATAATATTCAGAATTTGTTCCCCATAATTTCTGCCTCATTCATTGTGAATTTCTGATCTCCATTCCCTGAGGAAAGGCTTACATTTGAGTAGAAGGAGAAATGGACAGCTCCACTGTGTACCTTTTATCTCTTATCCTTTAGACTGTCACATTTTTCTCTGTCTCTTCCTGTCAGTGTCTCCCTTCTTTGATGGCCAGTGGACTAGATTTGAATCTGGGAATCCCCTAGCAAGACCATGTACCACTTCCCTTCTTTTAAGCTGGATGTGCAGTCCCTAAGCCAAATGTATTTTCCTTACTAGAGCAAGGAAAGGAGCCCTGGATGCTGATGAGAACCATGACAAGAAGACAGAGCTCAGGTGAATAAGGGCTGGTCAGTGTCAGCTATTGCTAATAATACAGCTGATCTGTAGGTGGCAGCACTTTGACATGTCTGCATGAAGCTCTCTTCAAAGGCCTGTGGAAAGAAGGCTTGAGACATAGGGAGAGCAGGAAGGTTATGTCTGTGAGTTCCCAGTGGAACCTCCCTCCCAACTCCCATTTGCCACTCTTCTGTTTTACATTCCATTTTTGTTTTAATAAGGGAGCTACCTTTGGTCTGGTCTCTTTTGGGGACAATGCTTTTATCTGTTTTTCCAATTATGTTTTTTCCCAGTTGCTCTTTTATAGTTAAACTTGGATAAGTATCTCTAGCGAGTACATACCTGCTGAGACTTTGCTATGTTCATAGGTTAGGAGGACCAGGAATGATAGCTCTGGCGAGGTAACATTTGAATTGAGACCTGAATAAAGTTGGCTATAAATCAGGGAAATGTGTGTTCAGGCAGAGGGAAGAGAAGATCCTGAGAGAAACTGAGCTTCACTTGTTTGAGAATCAGCAAGAAGGCCAGTGTGGCTACTGAAAGTGGAAATTCAAGGTGAGGTCAGATAAATAGGCAGAGATCAAATCATGTAGGACCTTGTTGGTTGTTGCAAGCGGTGAGATTTTATTCTAAGTGCGATCAGGAGCCCCTGGCTGATTTTTTGCAGATAAGTAAAGGATCTTTGTTTAAAGGTCACTCTGAGTGCTATGTGGACAGTGAGGATAAGAATGAAAGCAGGAAGACTAATGAGAGGACTACTTCAGAAGTTCACACTAGAGATAACAGTGACTTGGAATTGGGTTTAATATGTGGCGGTGATGAAAACAGGTAATATTTTGAAGGTAGATTTAATACCTTCATAATGGAGTTGTTTTGAAGATTGGCAATAGAGGCCTCAGGGTTTGGAAGGCTGGAGAAGGAAGTCAAGAGTTATGTATTTGATATGCTCATTAGATATCCATGTGATAAAGTTAGATAAGCATTTGGAAGCCTGTGGGTGGAGGGGATAGTCAGGACTGAAGAGATAAATACAGGATTAATCTCTGTACTGAGGAACTGAATGAGATTATGGAGCGAATTGGTTTAGATGGAAGGCAAGGTACAGTTCAAGGACTGAACCATGGGGTGTTCCAACATTCAGTCAGGAACAATCTAGCAAAGGAAATTGAGGACTAACCCGAGTAACCTGTGACCTAGGAAGAAGGAATGCAGTGTATTGGAAGCCAGCTGACAAAAGGATGAAGCAGTTAACTCAGAGAGATAATGCTAAGAGTTCAAGTAAGAGGAAGGCTGAAAACTGGCTATTAGATTTGGCAAGGTGAAGGGTGTTGGTGACCCTGACAAGGTGGGTTTGGAAATGAGAGGAACAAAAACCTCATTGGAGAGTATTTAAGAGAGTGAGAAAGAAGTAAGTCAACAATAAAAACTAGAGTGGGACAGTGAATTAACTCACCAGGCACTGTTGAAGGCCCATTTGAGGAGCCCTCAGAGTTACAAATAGAGTTTACAAATATTTTAGAAGGTTTTAAGAACACTGTAATAATTAGGGGAAAGAAATGTGATTACAGTTTGTATATGCAGTATTAGTTCAACTACATAAAAATCCATGGAACAAATTTAGGAAGGAAATATGGCAAAATGTTAATTGTGGTGGTAGGAGAGAAAGAAAAACAAAAGGTATAGACAGGAAGCGTGCATACCTCTTGAGAAGTGTTACCACTCTCCTGTCCACTGCAGCTCCTGTCCACTGCAGCTCCTGTCCACTGCAGCTCCTGTCCACTGCAGCTCCTGTCCACTGCAGCTCCTGTCCACTGCAGCTCCTGTCCACTGCAGCTCCTGTCCACTGCAGGGTGAACCACAGAATCAGGAGAGCTTTTTGTTTTGTTTTGTTTTGTTTTGTTTTGTTTTCAAAGGAGAATCTTTAAAATGGTGGTAGGCTGGGCATGATGGCTCAAGCCTGTAATCCCAGCACTTTGGGAGGCTGAGGTGGGTGAATTGCTTGAGCCCAGGAGTTCGGGACCAGCCTGGGCAACACAGCAAAACCCCATCTCTACTTAAAATAAAAATTAGCAGGGTATTATGGCATATGCCTGTGGTCCTAGCTACTTTGGAGACTGAGGTGGGAGGATCATTTGAGCCCTGAGGTCGAGGTTGCAGTGAACCATGATCATGCCACTGCATTTCAGCCTGGGCAACAGCAAGACCACGTCAAAAAAAAAAGAGAAAGAAAAGGAAAGGAAAAGGGAAAGGGAAAGGAAAGGAGAGAAAGGGAAAGAAAGAAAGAGAGAGAGAGAGAGGAAGGAAGGAAAGAAAGGAAGGAAAGGAAAGGAAGAAAGCTGGAGGGGTGGTATAAAGGTAAATGATCTGGTAACTTAAGTGGTGGTGGTCAAAAAGGACGGTTGCTTGAAATTGTGCTTTAAGAGGTGTTATTGGTAATAACATCCTTTGACATTATGTATTATGTTAGTACAAGTTGTGCTAATCATTGTTGAAAAGAGACTATTATGGATTTGGCAATTGGGGGTAGAAAACATGATGTTTGGGAATGAAATGTTTAGAATATAAATAAATGGTCCTAATGTTGTAGGAATAGTGAAAGATGTAAATAAATTTAGCTTGCCTTTTTCCCAAGGGGGTCTCATGTTTTAAGCCTTCAGTGTTCTTTGGTGATGGATTTTAAGAATAGGCATATTTCAAAAATTTTAATTGAAGTAAACAGTGCTAGAATTACTGAAAAAAGTTATGTGGATGTTTTTAGTTTTGGTATTTAAACATAAATGCTGATCACTTTTCCAAGTGTTATGGTAAAACTAATTCAAGTGTAATAGGCGTCTTAGTTCATATTGTGTTACTATCAAGGATACCCTAGGCTGGGTAATTTATAAAGACCAGAGGTTTATTTGGCTCGTGGTTCTGCAGGTTGTACAAGAAGCATGGCACCTCTTGTCTGTTTGGCTTCTGGTGAGGACCTCAGGCCGCTTCCATTCATGATGGAAGGTGAAGGGGAGCCAGTGTGTGCAGAGATCACATGGTGAGAGAGGGGAAAGGTGACAGGCTTTTTTTTTTTTAAACAGCTCTCTTGAGAACTAGTAGAGCGAGGGCTCAGTCATCCTTGAGGGAGGGCATTAATCTGTTCTCTGGGGACCAGCCCCCATGACCCAAGCACCTCCCACTAAACCCCATCTCCCAGGACGCCATACTGGGAACTAAATTTCAAGATGAGATTTGGTGGGTATAAACCACATCCAAACCATAGCAGATGATATTTCATGTTGTATATCCATCAATATACTTAGAGTATTGTCATGGCATGTCTGATAAATCAAATGTTGTGGAAAGAAAGTCAGGCTAACACCTACAGATACAAAATGGATTTTGGCTGAGGTTGAGTGTATAACCTGAAAATATGGGAATCAGTGAATAAATCCTGTAATGGTGAAGACTGCACCTATCGATAGAACATGTTAGAAATGTGCTACAGCATACTATGTATCATGAGGATTGATGTCTGCTGATGAGTTTGAACAGTTCCTGTTAGGCCTCCAACTGTCAGCAGAAAAATAAAGCCTAAACCTCATAATATAGCTGGAGATCATTTAATATTACCTCCCTGTGGGGTTGCTAGTCAGTTAAATACTTTAACTCCTGTCGGAATAGCAATAATTATAGTAGCTAGTGTGAAATACATTCTGGTATCAATGTCTATTCCTGCTGTAAATATATTGTAGTCTCATACGATAAAGCTTGTGAGCTAAATTGATATTATGGGTCATATTTTTTTTTTTTTTGAGATGGAGTCTCGCTCTGTCACCCAGGCTGGAGTGCAGTGGCCAGATCTCAGCTCACTGCAAGCTCCGCCTCCCGGGTTTACGCCATTCTCCTGCCTCAGCTTCCCGAGTAGCTGGGACTACAGGCGCCCGCCACCTCGCCCGGCTAGTTTTTTGTATTTTTTAGTAGAGACGGGGTTTCACCGGGTTAGCCAGGATGGTCTCGATCTCCTGACCTCGTGATCCGCCTGTCTCGGCCTCCCAAAGTGCTGGGATTACAGGCTTGAGCCACCGCGCCCAGCCATGGGTCATATTATTTCTATATAATCAAATGGTTCTTTTTTTTCCAGAATAATAGGTAACAATATGTGAGATTATTCCAAAACCTGTAAAATAAGAATGTACACTTTTGGATAGACAAAAATATCAGAATAAATGTTGGTCTAAAAGTGGATCTCCTCCTCCAGCTAGATCAAAAAAAGTGTATTAAGGTTATGGTCTGTCAGCAGTATGGTGATGCTGGTTGCTAGTACTGGGAGAGAGAGTAATAAAAGCACAGCTGCAATTAATAGTGGTGTCTGGTATTAGATATGGCTGGTGGCTTTATATTTATAATTGTAATAAAATTAAAATCAGTAGCTCTTAAAATTAGTGAAACACCTGCAAAATGTAATGAGAAAATGGTAAGATCTGCAGAGGCTTCTGCATGTACTAGATCAGACCATCTTGAGTTATTTTATATGGTGAAAGGTAGGGGTCCAGTTTCGTTCTTCTGCACATGGCTAGCCAGTTATCCCAGCACCATTTATTGAGTAGGGAATCCTTTCCCCATTGGTTAAGGCTCACCTGTTTTCCGGTGTCACAGTACTGCTGCTTCCTGTAGAAGGGGCCTCCTCCACAGGGCCTGTGTGATTGGGTGTTGCGCTGGTGTCAGCTGGTTGGGTTGGTCTGACCTCAGGCCCTGGGGGAAACGGTCAGATGCCAGCAGAGTTGGAATGGGGCAAGTAGTTCCCCAGTTACCAGGCCCCTAGCTGGCCCACTGGACAGCCTGTGAGACCTGAAGGGGCTGGACTGCAGTCGTGCTAGCCCAGAGTTCAGGTGCTGGCTTTGATGCAGGTAGGCGGGACAGGTTGGTTTCCAGGTCACTGGTCAAACTCTCATGCAGGGTCCTACAGAACGCTTAGGTGGTGGGAGCCCAAGGGAATATCAAGGTATGTGGGGTTTGGATTTTCAGAAGGGCTCTGGGCTGCAGGTGAAATGTCCAGGTGGGGGCAGGGCGGCTGTGCTGTGGGCCTTTCACTGAAGAGGGCAGGACTCCTGCAATAGAGACTGGCAGCTGCCGGGCACGTGGCGCGCTTGCATTTCCCTCCCTTCCAAACAATGCCGAACTTCACTGTTGAGGGCATGCAGAGGTGCGAGGTGTTATCTGTTACCTCTGGGAGTTTTGCCCCAGAGGAACACAGAACCGCAGACCACCGCAGAGTTTAGGCGGAGGTGCCGTTGCTGCAGAGGTGCGGTTGCTGCGCTGGAAGACGGAGCTGGTGAGCCTTAGCCGCCTCAGAGGAGGTAGGGCAGGGGTTGCATGGTCTGCTATCTGGGAGGTTCCTGGGGAAATGCGGAGCCTGCCTGCAGAGTTCTTGTGGAGAGGGTCGCTATGCTGCAGAGCTCAGGCGGGAGCAGGGTGGAGCCGAGCCTTGCCTGGCGAGGAGGGACTGGGCAGTCTGACCGCCCCTCAGCACTGTGACTGCAGCTTCCGCTGGGGTTATGGCAGCTGGCACCGAGCTGCCCAGGGATCTGGGGCTTGTGGTGCTCCACATGGGCTTGAGCAGTGCCTCTGCAAAAACTCTCGGTGGCTTTCTGTGTTGGTCTAGTGGCCCAGGGGTGGGAGTTGGCAGGTCCTCCTGTGCCCAGGATTGCAAAGGGCCACGTAGGAAGTGTGGTTCCCCCAGGGACACTCACTCTCCCACCGTTTAACCATGTTAGGGAGCTTCACCCACTCCATGCCAGTCCCAGGAAGGTGGCTGCCTGGCTTCTCTCCTCTCTGTTCTCTGGGAGTCCCCTGGCGTCTGTGGTAAATCCTGACATGGTCTTTTAGACCAGCGCTACCCCAACCTTTTTGGCACCAGGGACCGGTTTCATGGAACACAGTATTACCGGCCGGGGGACGCGGGGCGAGAGGGGAAGGGCAGACTGGTTTTGGGATGAAACTGTTCTACCTCAAATCATCAGGCATTAGATTCTCATAAGGAGCCCGCAACCTAGATCCGTCCTATGCACAGTTTACTACAGGGTTCGAGCTCCCGTGAGAATCTCAAGCTGCCGCTGATCGGACCGCTGATCTGAGCTCAGGTGGTGATGCTCACCCACTGCTCACCTCCTGCCGTGCAGCTCGGTTCCTCAGAGGCTGCCAAACAATACGGGTCTGTGGCCCGGGGTTGGGGATCCGTGTCTTAGATGATCCACTTAAAGAGACAGTATTTACTTGCGACTTTGTTTCCTCTCCCTGAGAGTGGTGCATACTAGCTGCTTCTAGTCAGCCATCTTGAGTGCCCCCCTAGAGTTACATTTAAATTTACATTAAGGTTAAAATTTGAGTAAATTTAAAGTTGAACTGAAATTCTGTTCTGAATAGCCAGCTATCACCAGGTTTTCATCTCTACTCATGGATCTTCTCGCTATTTTGCTGCATATGAGTCAGTCTGTGGGTAGCTTGTCTAGTTTTGGGTTTTTTAGCTAAAGTTCTCTTTGTAAAATTGTTGTTCATTCGTTACATAAAAGGTATAAAGGATTAGTTTTGCTTTTTTCGTCCTTAAAATTATTCTTTAATCTTTGCAATATGGTACTTTTTCTGTAGCACCTGAAGAAATTCCTTTCTCCTATACCTTATGTTGTGAGTAAATGTTTTGGTCTAAATAAATATAATTGTTAGCTTCTGTTGATTTGGGGGTAGGTCTGGTTCAAAGTGGTCAAATCAATATGAAATCTTCCAGATGTAGGCTGAGTTTAATAAACACTTTGGTTTATTAAAGCATATAGTATGTTTACTTTGTTATGACTCACCTCTTCATATATAAATTTATATTAATTATAAATTTGGATATATTGAAATATTTGAGGAGGGTGATGGATGGGTGTGTGCGTGCTTCATGGCCCTATTCAATTAAGCTCTCTGGTCTTAATTTACTATGAAATTTTCCTTTCGCCTCAAATTTCATAAAGTTTGTTGTGGGTGGAATGTTCTTTAATTAGAAAATATAGCCCATTTCTTTGTGTCTTATAAGCTGCACCATGACCTAATGTTTTCATGTAAATACTTGGGTTTAATACCTTTTAAGGTTTTGCAGAAGATGACAGTGTATAGGCTGAATTAGCAAGACATAGTGAGGTTTATTGGGGTTTACTGATTACAAAAAAGGAATATAAGCACTGCCAAGTCCTTTGTGTTTTAAGCTGTTGCTGGTAGTACTCTGGTGAATAACTTTGTTAATTTAATTAAGTTTATGGCTATGCATAGTAGGATATTTCTTCTCAGTTTGGGTCTTAGCTATCATGTATTCAGAATATATTAAATCACTTTCATTGTTTATTTTTATATTAGCTGTAGCTTTTTATGACCTAGTTAAGGTATAACTTTGTTTATAATCTTAAACATGTTTTATGCTGAGTTTTATTAATTTGGGTTAGTCATATGACTGCAAGCATGAAATTTTACCAACCCTAAGGAAAATTAATATAACTTAGTCAACCTTTGGTTAACTGCTTAATTTTTATCATTGCTGTTTTCTGTGGCTGTATTGGTAGAGTAAGGTTTTATGAGCTGCTAATTAGTGTGCCTGAGGCCTGCTCTTTTTGGTTTTTGTTGATCTAGAGGACATTCTCACTAGAATGCAGATAGTTGCAAGAGTTACTAAAAATGAAGAGGTCAGGACTAAACCTATTTGTTTATAGAATTATATGAACTCATTTAGGCATTGTCAGTGCCTTGCGTTGCGAATTAAGCTACATTAGCTTATATGTAGGAAATTCCCTCTCAAGAAGAAATGGCCAAGTTTAAGTGCTGTGTCAGTATTGGTGGATGTTTTAGTAAATTTAGTAAAAAAACAAACTTTTAACCCAGAAAACCTAATTTTTAATTTACTTTTTGGATTTTGATAAATTCTTTAGGAGTTGGGCTAAAACTTAGTTCTAGATGAACTGTGTGTGTATGTATGTGTGTGTGTATGTGTATGTGTGTGTGTGTGTGTGTGTATGCCTTACCTGTAGTTAATAAATATAAGATTTCCTGTTTTGAGGTTTGGCAAGAATAAAAGCCTTATATCCACAAGTAGTACAATAGCTTGAGATTGTGGAGTTAATTAACGTGAAATCGTGTGTACATGTTTGTGTCATGTTTTTTACTATGTCCACTGAACATGGAGTAATTAAACTTTATGGTTTCACTGTAGAGAAAGACTATTCAATTTCAGCTCAGCTACAGTTTGCTTTATTGTATCAAGTCCATGACAGCCATGTTGGATCGTAACATTCCCTAAATTAAAAAATACCAAGTGTGTGACACCACCACAGTGATGTGTGATCATGGACTGGTTAGCCATTAGTCCATCGAGATGTCTTATTAAAGAGGAATGAATGGGCAATCTTAAGTCCGTGACCGTGAAGTAAGAACCAGATGGCAGGCGTAGTTTCATCCAAGTTTCATGGGCCCAGAACGAGAAGTGGGACACGTCTCAAGCAAGTTGCTGGTTTCTTTTTTTTTTTTTTTTTTTTTTGAGACGGAGTCTCACGCTGTTGCCCAGGCTGGAGTGCAGTGGCGCGATCTCGGCTCACTGCAAGCTCCGCCTCCTGGGTTCACGCCATTCTCCTGCCTCATCCTCCTGAGTAGCTAGGACTACAGGCGCCCGCCACCGCGCCCGGCTAATTTTTTGTATTTTTAGTAGAGACGGGGTTTCACTGTGGTCTCGATCTCCTGACCTTGTGATCCGCCCGCCTCGGCCTCCCAAAGTGCTGGGATTACAGGCTTGAGCCACCGCGCCCGGCCTACAAGTTGCTGGTTTCTTGAAGCTTGGTACTAAAGAAATCCTGTTGGCGGTAATAAGCTTGTTGTCAAGGATTGATTTGTCTGAATGTACTGTGAATAATCAATAATTTCATGTCTTGTGTAAAATAAAGGATTTAATATATCGAACAGTATTTGTATTGGTAAATCTGACATATGTGGGTATGCCATTCAATGTGTTAAGCACTGTTTGTAATTTCATGTATATGCTTATATGCATGGGGAGTGGATCTTAATGTGTGATTACACATGCATATACAATGTACAATCAAGCATAATAGTACTAGTACATTATTAGGAAAAGCACATAATGCATCCATAGTTAGGTTTTATGTTTATTTTCTCAGTACTGACATAGCATTTAACAGTAATTTTTCTCAAGTAGAAGAGTCAGGTTACAGTTTAAGTGGAATTTCAGCTTTAGAACCCTGAGACTTGAGGTTCTAGTTTTGTTATTTGAGGTGTTGTATTGTTAGGTTTGTTAATAGAGTAATTTATAATTATGTGAATAATGGGTTATGATGAAGTGGAGGTGATTTTTGATTTGAAAATTTAAAGGATTGGGTAATTTTTGAGGGTGAAGAGTTTGGACTTCTTCAGGAAATTTCTATAGGTATAACAGTATTATATAGTTATGAAGGCTGATTCATGGTTGTGGTCAGTTGATCTTTATTTGTTGGTATCTTTATTGTTCCTGAGATTACTCTGGGAAATTAGATAGCTAGGAGTGTAGCCAATAAAAGTGAGATAAGGAAGGAGAAGAAAATAATTAGGAGATGGTTATTGAAACTATCATTTAGAAGTGAGAAATGATTTTTAGAGTGACTTTTTCTAGTCAAATCTAGTAAAACTGGTGCTATGTTTTGGTTTGTTGAAAGGTTTAGGTATGGTGATAAACCGTGAACAACTGTTGGGAAGGAACCTAGAAGGTTGGAAAATTTGTATATGTATGAGGATTCAAATTTAAGATTTTATGTTATTAGTTGAGTTCTAATGTTATAATGAAACTTAAGGTAGTTAAAGCATGAGCTAAGAGTTTTAGGTAGAATGGCATAGTCATCTGAGGAATAGTTACGGGAATAATATTTTTGGAGATAAAAAAAATTCAGTGGGCCGGGCACGGTGGCTCACTCCTGTAATCCCAGCACTTTGGGAGGCCAAGGCAGGTGGATCACGAGTTCAGGAGATCGAGACCATACTGGCTAACATGGTGAAACCCTGTCTGTACTAAAAAAATTACAAAAAATTAGCCGGGCATGGTGGCGGGCGCCTATAGTCCCAGCTACTCGGGAGGCTGAGGCAGGAGAATGGTGTGAACGTGGGAGGTGGAGTTGGCAGTGAGCTGAGATAGCGCCACTGCACCCCAGCCGGGGTGACAGAGTGAGACTCTGTCTCAAAATAAATAAATAAATAAATAAATAAATAAATAAATAAATAAATTAGTGAAAATAATACTGATTGCAAGACATTTAATTGAACTAGCTAGGAGGGGGATTGTTTTTGTTGATTTGACTTAAAGTTGAAAAGCAGAGTTGTCCCAGGATTGTAAAGAAAATAATTTGAGTACTATAGACAGCTCTTAGGGAGATGACAATAAGCATGATTTAAAGGGCTCAGGTGTTGGCATACTGTGTTTGCTGTTTTAATAATTAAATCTTTGGAGCAGAAGCCTTTAAGGAAGGGCATACCTATTAAGTGTAGGCTTCTGAAAATGAGTAAGGACATGGTAAAGAGTATAGTTTTAAATAGGCCCCCTAGTTTTCTAGAATATTTTTCATCATTCAGGGTATGAATAATGGATCCAGAGCATAGAAAAAGTATGTTTCAGGAATACATGCATACAGATGTGAAGAAATGCTAAATGTGGTTGATTAATGCCACTAGTGACAATTAGGAGACCTAGGTTTGAGGTAGAAAAGGCAAATGATTTTTTTTAAGTCTTATTTTGTGTTACGGCACAGATTGCTGTGAATGAAGTGGTAATACCACCTAAGCAGTTTTGTTATTTTCTTTTTTCTTTTTCTTTTTTTGAAACAGGATCTCATTCTGTTGCCCAGACTGGAGTGCAGTGGCAAAATCACGGCTCACTGCAGCCTCACGCTTTTGGGCTCAAGTGATCCTCCTACCTTAGCATCCTGAGTAGCTGGGACCACAGGTGTGCACCACCATGCATGGCTGATTTTATTTTATTTTATTTCTGTAGACACAAGGTCTGTGTCTACTGTGTTGCCCAGGCTGGTCTTGAACTCCTGGGTCCAAGCGATCCTCCTGACTCAGCCTCCCAAAGTCCTAGCATTACATTTGTGAACCACTGCACCCCACTGTGTTTTCTTTTCTATTAGTAAAGTGTATTAATAAGAAAATTCTTGTTACAACTATTGTGCTTGAATGAAGTAAGGCTAAAACTGGTGTCGAGCCCTCTGTCACTGATGGTAGTTATGGGTGAAAACCAAATTGGGCCGATTTACCAGTTGCTGCTGCCAGGAGAAGCCTAATTAATGAGAGAGTGTCAGGATTGGGGTTGAGTATGGACATTTTTTGGAATTCTTATGTGTTTGAGTGTAACAATCATGATGCTGATAATAGGAATCCAATATCTCCAATACTTGTATATAAAATTGCCTGGAGGCTGCTCTATTTGTGTCTGTTAGGCCATATCATCATCTAGTAAGTAAAAATGATATGATTTCTATTGTTTTTCATCCAATAAAGAGTTGGAAGAAAAAAAAAAGAGTTGGAAGAGGTTGGTGGCATTAGCTACTATTAGTATGGTTGTGAGGAATATAAGTATGGACTTAGGTAATTGATTAATATTTTGATCTGAAAGTATATATCACATTGAAGATTCTGTAATCAATCATGTGATGAAAGAAGTTACTGGTACAAATATTAGTCTAACTTGAAGCTGAATGTCAGTTTTAAAGTTTGAATAGTCATTCAATGTCAGTTTGAAATAATTATTTCTTGCCCTGAATGAATAAATATTGGGGTTGGAAATAGGCTGGTGGCAAATGAGTATTTTTTTTTAAATAGTTATAGTAATTGGTAAACATAAGTTGGTAAGTAAAATTATGATAGAAGAGAAGAAATTTATTTTATTCAAAGTTGCACCAATTTTTGGCTCCTAAGGTCAATAGATTACTTCTAACTTTTAAAAGTTCAGAAAGCCACATGGTTATATATGGAGGCATGAGTTAGCAGTTCTTGCATACTTTCTTAGTAAATCATCAGTTCCCCCTTATCTGCAGGGTATACATTCCAAGGCTCCCCCAGTGGATGCCTGAAACGAGAGCTAGTACTGAGCCATACATATAATGTGTTTTTTGAATCTGATAAAGGAGATAGCTACTGGGTGGTGACTAATAGGCAGATCCTTTTTGGATAATGGCAAAATTAGACAATATGCTCATCAAAGGGATGATTCATGTCTTGAGCAAGATGGAGTAGGATGGTGTGAGATTTCATCATGCTATTCAGAATGGCACAGTTTAAAACTTATGAATTGTTTATTTCTGGTATTTTCCATTTAATATTTTGGACCTCAGTTAACTATGAGTATCTGAAACCACACAAAGTAAAACCTTTGGAACTACTGTAAAGAGTTTTAAGTTTCTATATAAGATTCACAACTGAACATTTTATTTAAACTATATTTACAATATATGGGTCCTGGAATAATTTTGGAGTTAAGTGACAGGAGTAATAGAGGTAGAAGATGTATAAATATGAGAGTATTTTCTCATGTGAATAATGGTTTGATGTTATCAATGTGATATGTGAATTTTTCTCATTGTAATGTGATTGATAGAGGGACTATATGGCCATAATTAGTACATTAGTCCTATTTGGATAATGGCAAATTAGATCATAAAAATACTGATATAATTCCAAATAATTCTCCATTCAGGTTAATAGTTGCTAGTAAGGCTGTCAACTGCTAACTCAGGCCTCCATATAGAACAATGTGGCTTTCTGAACTTTTAAAGGTTAGAAGTAATCTGTTGGCCTTAGGAGCCAAAAAGTTGTTGCAAAAGGCTAGGTCAGTTAGGCTAGCCCATACTTATCATGTTTCTGTTAAAGGAAATAATGTCTGTAGTCTGCGAGCTAATAGTACAGATGCTTCTCAACATACGTTGGGGTTACTTCTGGATAATGTCAAAAATATTATAAGTCATTCTGTGTAACCCCGTTGGTAAGTCAAGAAGCATAATGAATGTGTATTGCTTTCTTACCATGGTAAATTTGAAAAATCGTAAGTCTAAGTATCATAAGTTGGGGAACCTTGTGTCTGGTTTGGCTATGGATTTGTTCATTGTTTGAATTTGGTTTTTGTTTGTTTGTTTTGAGATGAAGTCTCGCTCACCCAGGCTGGAGTGCAGTGGTGTGATCTCAGCTCCCTGCAACCTCCACTTTCTGAGTTCAAGCAATTCTTTTGCCTCAGCCTCCCAAGTAGCTGGGATTACAGGCACCTGCCACCATCCCCAGCTAATTTTTGTATTTTTAGCAGAGACGGAGTTTCACCATGTTGGCCAGGCTGGTCTCAAACCCCTGACCTGAGGTGATCCGCCCACCTCAGTCTCCCAAAGTGCTGGGATTACAGTCATGAGCCACCGTGCCAGAATCATAGTTTGAATTTGTAAGGCAAAATCATTTTGATGTTGTGTGGTCATGGGCAGTTATTAGGGCTGTGGCTCCTATAAAACTTCATGGCATTTGGATGAGAAACGCTATAATTAGTAATGCTGTATGAGCTACAGATGAATACTCAATGATTTTAAGTCTGTTTAGTATGAACAAATAGAATTTGTTATAATTATTCCTCACAGTGATATTAGAAATGGATAGGCTATATACTTTTAGATTTTAAATTAGGGTAATTTGTATTAGGCCACAGCCTATTAATTTTAGTAATGTGGCTACAAGAACTGTGGGTGCAGCATTCGGGGCTTCTACATATGCTTTTGGTAATCAAAGATGGAGGATATAAAGGGGTGGGTTTTTTTGGTTTTTTCTTTTTTTACTATGAATGCTGTAATGCCTTCTATTTATACGAGACTATTCAGGAGTTTGGTAGTATTTGAATTCAATAGCAGGTTGATTGAATATTTAAATATTCATTAAAATATTTAATGAATCCATGGTGTTTTAGATATAGATTAATTCTATAAGTAGGGGTAAAGAGCCAATCAGTGTATAAAACAGGAAATGAAAGTCCTGTGTTTAATCATTCTGTTTGGCTTTCTCATTGGGTAATAACAATTAGAGTTTGAATTAGAGTTGCTTCAAGGAGACTATAGAATACAATTAGTTCTATGATGGTAAATGTCATGATTAGGAATATTTGTAGAAAAATTAACATTGAATTTTTTTTTGTATATCTGATTCCTTGGTGAGTTGGTGTTGACTTGCTATAATTATGTCTATCTTGGGAGAGGTTAGGTGAAGCAAGGCGGAGGGAAAGACATGAAGGAAAACATTGTTTCTGGCCAAGTAGCATGCTCAAAGTTTCAATAGGATCAAGAAGGTGAAGAAAATAATCAGAGTGGGGGCAGAAGTTGTAGAGGATTTTGTAGAAAGTACACGATGAATTCCAAAAGGCATAGTTTGGAGTGAAGTAGGACATGGATGGGATAAGTGAAGTAGGACATGGATGACCAAGGACCCAGGAAGCCAAGGCTTTTAAGAGTATTGAGATAAGTCAGAGATATCAGGCATTACAGGATTGGCCTCTAGTGGTCTTTTAGGGGAAGGTGGATGGTTATTCCTTTTATAAGTTAAGGATAGTAGGGCTATGACACTAAGAGCTTATGGAAATTGAGATCTCCATGGAGAAGCCAGCCTTAATAGCAGGATGTGGAGGTCTTACCAGCACCCAGAGCTGTGGAGGCTTTGCTTGTAAACTGCAGTGGGTGGAGTGGCTGTCTTAACAGAAGAGAGATTACTGGAACAGCATTGCTAGGAGCCTGGGATTGGGGACAGCTTCTCAGGAAGTGCAATGGTACATGAAGTTTCAGGTGAGCCCTGAAAGAATGAAAAGCAGGTAAGGAGACTGAGGGTGGAGAGAAGAGGGAAGAGCATTCCTAGCAGAAGTAACAGTGTACTGAAGACCATAGGAGGATGGAGCTTGGTGTATATGAGGTATTGAGAGAAGGCCTTCGCAGCTGGAGTCTAGTGAGGCAGAGGTGCCACAAGGGAGTTGGAGAGGCTGACTGGAGCCAGGCCAGGCAGAACCTGCTAGAGGTTGTGAATACGACCTAGAAGGTTATAAGCAGCACTTGTTGTTGTTTTTAATAAAACAGGAGATAAAATAACAAAATATGAATATATAATATAGCAAAGAGAATTTTATGACATCCTTGTTTTATGTTTGTGTGTGTACTCAGTCATAATATGTATTTCTTACTATGAGGTTGCAGTCAAAAGAAATTTGAAAAATACTGCAGAAGAGTTCAGATTTTATCCCCCAAATTTTTGCAGGCTGTTGAAGAATCTTAAGATGGTGACATAATATGATTTTCATATTTACTATTCCATTCTGCTGCCAGATGGAGATTAGAACAAAGGATCTTGTAACATTACTGAGTAGGTTTTTGTTGTGGTTCAGGATGCTTTGGGGCCAGGCGCAGTGGCTCATACCTGTAATCCCAGCACTTTGGGAGGCCGAGGCAGGTGGATCACTTGAGACCAGGAATTTGAGACCAGCCTGGCCAATATAGTGAAGGCCCATCTCTACTAAAAATACAAAAATGAGCCAGGCATGGTGGTGCACACCTGTAATCCCAGCTACTCAGGAGGCTGAGGCAGAATTGCTTGAATCTGGAGGCGGAGGTTGCAGTGAGCTGAGATGGCGCCACTGCACTCCAGCCTGAATGATAGAGCGAGACTCTGTCTCGAAAAAAAAAAAAAAAAAGATGCTTTGGGCTTCCTGAGTGTCAGCAGTGGTGTTGGTGATAAGGTAACAGATTCAACAGCTACTTAGGAGATACATTCAGTAGGACTTGATAGGGGCTAGAATAAAAGAAACTTCCTAAAATGAGGACTCCTTTTCAGACTCCATTTTGTTGTCTTCACTCATCACCCATTTTGCAGTTTTCCCTTTTTCCACCATATAGTTTTTCATTACTGACAATAAAAAGAGCTGCTAAATGTTAATTGAATACATTTTTATGTACTCCTCATTCTGGGTACAGTTCTGAGACTTTCGTATTCTAATCTTAACTTTTTCTTTATTTCTCTAGATTTCTGTGTAGCACCTTCCTGTGTTCTCATAGTGCCTCCTACCCCAGAATCATATTAGATTTATATTTCTTCCCATTTTTATTAGGGCACCAGCACATAGGTAGCTGTTTTGGGTCCCAACTGAATTTATTTGATTCCTTATAGTGTTCGCTTAATCACCATAAGCCCATTGATTTATTTCAAAGTGTTTTATAAACCATATTGTTCTTCTATGAAAGAAACAAAATAAAAGCAGGGTCTTTTTCCATGATATGTTGCTGACATGAATTGGTGTTAAACTGAGCTGTGCTGTGCATATGGCAGGTGGGCGGGGGGTAGTTGCTTTTGTTTCTACAATTTCTTTTTGCTTTTCAGCAAAAGTGTGTTTTCTCAAGTTTCAGAGGCTTATTTCTAAAAGACTGTTTAAATTTGAACTTACTGATGTGTATTTATTTTTCTTCCCATTACCACCAGTCTCTGTTATTCTACAACCTATATACACAGTGGTCAGAGACCCTGTGCCTGCTGATCCAGTTACATCAGATAGGTTTCTCTGCATTTGAAAAGTACACTTGTTTCCCAACTTCTTTGTTCAGAATGATATAACACCTTTATTGTGTAAACTTTTCACTATTTACAGGACATTTTGAGGTACTTCTTTGGGAAATATAAGAACATTTGGCCTTAAGTAAGACATGGAAAGAAAGATGTGAAAAACTGTATTAAAGAAATAAAACATTGTATGTATACTGTGTTCTGGGGACTAGCTATATAATAAAACATTCATTTTCCCTCTACACATGTAGAGCTTGAGGAGTAGAAAGATCAACATAAATAAATGAAATTTTAGAATTGCAAAAATTCAAACAAGAATTAGGAATAAATTACAGGTATAGAAAATACATGGCATGGACCTAACTAAAGTGATCCAGGACAGTCTTTCTCAGCAGCTGACATTTAAGCTAGGACATTTCACACACAAAGGAGGTGGCCACTTTGACAGCATTCTTGGCAGATGGAACAGCATATGGAAAATCTAAAATGGGAAAGAATTTGACATGTTCTTGGAGCTTAAATCAGGCCAATAAGATTAGAACACTGTTCCTGAAGATAGCAGTGGCTCAAAATGAGGCTTAAAAGGTAATTTTGAAGAAGTTGGAGAAATTTAAGAAAGAATTGGATCATAAAAGGGGCTTATAGGCCATGAATAGTAATTTGGATTTTGTTCCAAGTACAAGGGTAAACCACTGAAAGATTATTAGCTCTATTCTCAAACTTTGTGTTGTATGAGAAGCATCTAAGGAGATTTATGAATAAAGGAACATTTACATTTTAAAAATTATTGACAAATATTGAATGCCAACAAATGTGTAAGTAATGATGTTAGGCACTAGAGATAAAGCAGTATATGAAATGAAGTCCCTGCTTTGATTAAGCATGGGACAGACAGACAGTAGTCAAACTTTAGAAATGGTACGTCCATTAGTGAAAAATGCAATATAGGTAAAATTGTGTGTTGGATATTTTGATAATGTGACAGCTGAGCAGAAAACTGAAATGAGGGAGCAAGCCATGCGTGTATCTAGAGGAAGGGCATTCTAAAAACTGTACACGGAGAGGCATATGCTTGACATTTTTTAACACCAAGGAAGCCATTATGACCAGAGCCAAATGAATAATTAGCGGAGTGGTAGGTGATGATATCAGAAAAGTGGCCAAGGGGGGAGATGACATAAGAGTGGTGGCCATGGGCAAGTTCGTGTAGGGTCTTGTGAGCCATATTAAGGACTTTGGATTTTATCCTGAGATGGCACACTATTAATGGGGAAGATTTTTAGCAGGGGAATCATAATATAAACCACATTTTGAAAGAATTCCTCTGGCTGCTGTATGAAGAATAGATCATAGAAGCAAGGATGAAAGCAGAGAAACCAGCTAAGAGGTTATGACAATGAGAGATGGGTGACTTGGCCTAGGATGGTGGTAGTGGAGGTGGTCAGATTCTTAATTTTGACAGGAGAGCTGATAGGATTTGTTGACAGATTGTATGTCCAGCTAGACATCTGTTTTCAAGAGGGTGTTTTTATTACTATTTTATAAGCCCCCTGGGTGTTTCTAAGCCACTCCAAAGTTTGAGAACCACTGACTTAACCTATTTTTCTAATTGCCTTCTTTCCTATAAGCTCTCCTTTTTCTTTATTCTCTCCTTGTGCCTTTAAAGAAAAATGGCACAAAATATTTCTGTACTGTTTAAGCCATTCTATTCTTATGAGAATTATTTTCATCTATCATTTTTACTATAGAATTTTTATTTCTCCTTGTAAACAAAAGCAGGAATTTGTTTTCTTGTTATTCTACAGACTTGGAATCTAGTCGTGCAACCAAAGAGTTATCTCCAGAAAAGGAAATTTATGAAATGGAATCACTCCAGTGGGAGAATATGGGGAAACTTATCAACCATCACCTTCAGTACAATGGTCTTGGAGACAATATGGAGTGCAAAGGCAACTTAGAGGGTCAAGAAGCAAGTCAGGAAGGGCTTTACATGTGTGTCAAAATTACCTGTGAAGAAAGGGCCACTGAAAGCCATTCAACCTCTTCTACTTTTCATCGGATAATTCCTACCAAGGAAAAATTGTACAAATGTAAGGAATGTAGACAAGGTTTCAGCTACCTGTCATGCCTTATTCAACATGAGAAAAATCATAATATAGAAAAATGCTCTGAAGTTAAGAAACATAGGAACACCTTTAGCAAAAAGCCAAACTATATGCAACATCAGAGAATTCAGACTGGTGAGAAACCTTATGAGTGTATGGAATGTGGAAAGGCCTTTAGTCGTAGTTCTGATCTCATTCAACATCAGAAAATTCATACTAATGAAAAACCTTATCAGTGTAACGCATGTGGGAAAGCTTTTATTCGTGGTTCACAGCTCACTGAACATCAGAGAGTTCATACAGGAGAGAAACCATATGAATGTAAGAAATGTGGAAAAGCCTTTAGTTATTGTTCACAATACACTCTTCATCAGAGAATTCATAGTGGTGAGAAACCCTATGAATGTAAGGATTGTGGGAAGGCCTTTATTCTTGGCTCTCAACTTACTTACCATCAGAGAATTCATAGTGGGGAGAAACCTTATGAGTGTAAGGAATGTGGAAAGGCCTTTATTCTTGGTTCACACCTTACATATCATCAGAGAGTTCATACTGGTGAAAAGCCTTACATATGTAAAGAATGTGGGAAAGCCTTTTTATGTGCCTCCCAACTGAATGAACATCAGAGAATTCATACAGGTGAGAAACCCTATGAATGTAAAGAATGTGGGAAGGCCTTTTTTCGTGGCTCACAACTTACTTACCACCTGAGAGTTCATTCAGGTGAGAGACCCTATAAATGCAAAGAATGTGGGAAAGCCTTTATTTCTAATTCGAATCTTACTCAACATCAAAGAATTCATACCGGAGAGAAGCCCTACAAATGTAAGGAATGTGGAAAGGCCTTTATTTGTGGCAAACAACTTAGTGAACATCAGAGAATTCATACAGGTGAGAAACCCTTTGAATGTAAGGAATGTGGAAAGGCCTTTATTCGTGTTGCCTATCTTACTCAACATGAGAAAATTCATGGTGAGAAACACTATGAATGTAAGGAATGTGGGAAGACTTTTGTTCGTGCTACACAACTTACATATCATCAAAGAATTCATACAGGTGAAAAGCCCTACAAATGTAAGGAATGTGACAAGGCCTTTATATATGGCTCACAACTCAGTGAACATCAGAGAATTCATAGAGGTGAAAAACCTTATGAATGTAAACAATGTGGGAAGGCTTTTATTCGTGGCTCACACCTTACTGAACATCTGAGAACTCATACTGGAGAGAAACCCTATGAATGTAAGGAATGTGGGAAGGGCTTTAGTCGTGGCTCAGAACTTACTCTGCATCAAAGGATCCATACTGGTGAGAAACCCTATACATGTGGCCAGTGTGGTAAAGAGTTTAGACGTCCTTCACAACTTACTCAACATATAAGGCTTCATAATTGAGAAAGCCTTGAATGTGATTAAATATAAGAAAATCTTCATCATCTATTTCATATCTATACTGAATGTGGGACATCCTTTTGCTTCTGCTCAGAATCTACTCATTCTTAGAAGGCCTGTATTAACATGGATGCAGAATAATTTTAGAAACCCCTTATAAATAATTAACATCTCTATAAACCCTAGAATTTAATGCTGAATTATATCCTTTATTAAGCATCATCTCCATTTCACCATATCCTAACTGAAATCAGATATATTTGTGTGTTTTTTTCTATTTGTAAAATACTGTAATTGTATTACAATGACTAAATTATAATTAAATACATATAATTCCCTTTGGATGGTATCTGATGTTTATTTTTTAAATGATTGCCATTATCATCATTACATAGTGTTAGAGAACTCAAATGGTGGGAATAGTTTATGATTACAATTAAAAGATGCAACCATTCTCTTATCATGTATCCCTTTTAGAACAACAGATACTTTATTTTAGAACAAAACCTTTTGAGTATAGTAAAGGTATGAAGAACTTCAGAGCACATCAGTTTTGCAGCATCAGATAATGCCAAAAAGAAACTTGCAGAAATTGCTTTAGGGCTGTTGTTTTTATGTATTTGCCTTAAATGGAAATATAAACAAAATTTACCGACTACAGTTTTTCCTCATTTGAATCTCACCCATTTCTGATATACTGAATGGTAAATTTTTAGAGACCCAGATCTCAGAGCCTACATTCCATTTTTTTAGCTTTTTGGCTTTTTTTTTTTTTTTTTTTTTTTTTTGAGACAGGGTCTTGCTGTTCTTGTTCGGGCTGGAGTACAGTGGCACAATCACTGCTCACTGCAGCCTTGACTTCCTAGCTCAAGCAATCCTCCAACCTCAACCTGCCAAGTAGCTGTCACTATAGCTGTTTATCACCATGCCTGGCTCGGTTAAAAAAAAATTTTTTTAGAGATGGGGTCTCACTATGTTGCCTCATCTGGTCTTAAACTCCTAGGCTCAAGCAGTCTACCTACCTCAGCCTCGTGAAGTGTTGGGATTACAGATGTGAGCCATTATTTTATTTTTTATTTGTATTATTTTTATTTGGCCCCATTATTGTAAATAGGAAAAATAGTATGTTTTCAGTTCATTAAAAAATCCTAACCAATTTCAATTTGAATTCAACTTAAACCACCTAAATCACTTCTATCAGGGATTTCTGAATAATGTAAAACACTCAAAAGCCAGTTAACAGTTAATTACCAGATATGTTTGTGCATGCAGTGATTTTGAAAACTATTAACGTATGAATTATGCTTTCTTTCTATGCTTTAAGGAACAGATACTATAGTGACAATAAATGTAATATATTAGTATATAATGGACACAAATGACAGATAACAGCTTTAAATAATTTGAACTTATTAATTAGAATGTTGTTGAATGAGGACTGATGGTCAGAAATTAATGACGGTCAGAAGAGGTTAATGGTGTTCAGTGAGTGAAGGTGAGTGAGAATAATATATTGGAGCAGCAATCAATGCCCACAGTTCTGTGATTCCAAGCATCTGGTGCACAGTATTCTCAGAACTCAAGACCTCAAAATTGAGTTACTGTGTACAAAGCTGTTCATAGAAAAACAAATGTTCCCAAGAAATACTTACCTTTTCTATATGCAGTGTTATCTGTTGTCTTCTAATACATTATCTTTTTTTATTTGTTTCAAACAAAAAAACGGAGTTTCACTCATGTTGCCCAGGCTGGAGTGCAGTGGTGCAATCTCGGCTCACCGCAATCTCCACCCCCCCAGGTTCAAGGAGTTCTCTGGCCTCAGCCTCCCAAGTAGCTGGGATTACAGGTGTGCCACCACACCTGGCTATTGTATTTTTAGTAGAGACAGGGTTTCTCCATGTTGGTCAGGCTGCTCTCAAACTCCTGATCTCAGGTGATCTGTCCGCCTCAGCCTCCCAAAGTGCAGGGATTATAATAGGCATGAGCCACTGCACCCGGCCTACATTATTTTTAATAAACACTGCAGCCCACTGAATTGTCATCACTCTGGAAACCACTGATTGTATATAGTGTATGATTATAATCTAAATGTTAATTCACTGTTTTAAAAACTGTCAAAAAAAAATTGGTAACTGAGAATCATTAGAACTCTGAATAATCTGTGTAACCACCATGATGCCACAACACTCATGCATTCTTCATCTCTAAAGTACATTTTGCTCAGACTGGATAAGTTATCCCCTCATTGCTCAGTCATTAACAATTGAGAGATTAACATAATTGCAAAATTATAAATTTAAAGGAAAAGTTAAATGTCAGTAGACTGTTAGGTGCCCTTCTACAATGAAACATACTTGTATATTAACTGCCATTTGCAGAGAATATCTTGAGCCAGACTTTTCAAAAATATGTTCAAGAAATAATTCCCAGGCCGGGCGCGGTGGCTCACGCCTGTAATCCCAGCACTTTGGGAGGCCGAGGCGGGCGGATCACAAGGTCAGGAGATCGAGACCACGGTGAAACCCCGTCTCTACTAAAAATACAAAAAATTAGCCGGGCGCGGTGGCGGGCGACTGTAGTCCCAGCTAGTCAGTAGGCTGAGGCAGGAGAATGGCGTGAACCCAGGAGGCGGAGCTTGCAGTGAGCCGAGATCGCGCCACTGCACTCCAGCCTGGGTGACAGAGCGAGACTCTTGTCTCAAAAAAAAAAAAAAAAAGAAAGAAAGAATTCCCAAAATACATAGAGAGGGTTCTACCTCATTGCGTATGATACAGTGCATAACCAAATTTCCTTACTGGCATTGTGAATTCCACTTTGAACAAACCAAATTAAAAGGTTGAGAAGACCTGCAGTAAAGAAAATACTATCTTTTGTTTAACCCATTGTTTCCCAGTCCTGACCATTAATCCTTTCTCTTCTGTATGCTTATTAATATCTTTGGCTTGTGAACACACTTTGAGAATTCCTTTTTAACCATAAAGAATGATGGTAAGGGGGAATTTTAGGCATTATGTCAGTTATTTAAATTTGATGGATGATATAGTGCTTTTCTGTTCTTCAATCATGGACTATGTGTTAGAGAGGAGCAGTTTCTGTAGCTCAGGTTTTTACAGTCCTCTACACTCCATCATTGTCCAGATCAATTTTATAAGGGTTTTGTCTTTTTTTGTTTAGAGGTGGGCTCTCTGTCACCCAGGCTGGAGTGCAGTGGCATGGCTCATTGCAGCATCAAGCTCCAGGGCTCAAGTGATCCTCCTGCTTCAGCCTTCCAAGTAGCTGGGACTACAGGTTTGCACCACCATACCTGGCTAATTTAAATTTTCTCTCTCTCTCTCTCTTTTTTTTTTTTTTTTTTTTTTTTTTTTGTAGAGACAAGGTCTTGTTTTGTTGCCCAGGCTGGTCTCAAATCCTGGGCTTCAAATGATCCTCCTGCCTTGGCCTCCTAAAGTACTGTAATTACAGACATGAGCCCCCATACCTGACCAAGGCTTTTTCTGTTGTTACAAGATTGTTTAAAAGGAGAAACTTGAATAACTGTTAACTCTTTCAGCACTTATGTTTATTTCATAA